AATATGATGGTTGTATTTCCCATCTCAAAATGTATGTCTAGTCAAAATTACAGAATTCCATCATGTACTGATGATGATGAGATATTGTTAAAAAAATCTCACATTAAAGATTGATCAAAAATATCTCGAATTCAAAAAAAAAGTGTTTTGAGTGCTATTAATCGGATCATTATATCTCAGTCAAAACTCAATATTTAAGTGTGAAAATTTGGTTACATATCTGAAAGGATGTGCTCTACAAAATGGAATAACCTTCATTTAAATGTACAATTTTTGACTATGTCAAGACTCAGTCGAAATCTGATGAGTCAAATCTTTTATTATCTTGAATCCCACAGATCATAAGGATGCCTATTTAGTAGAACATCAAAATAGGATAAAAGTTTGACTGATCAAGCTGAAACTTTTAGAAGTGACTACTAGCTTCGTCCTCTACGATTACTGAAAGTTTCATGTCAAACGACCTTTGTTTGCTGATTATATGAAAATCACCCGGTCCCCACATGGTTCTATATACTATAGACAAAATAGTGATATTTGGTGCTAACACTTGTCCAGGCAAATTTCAAGATCCCAAAGTTTTAATTGCATATTTAAGTAGTACTAGGTTAGTAGTCTTTGGAAAAAAGTTTGAGCAAATTCTATCACGCTGATCGGAAAAAGTCCTATTCTCAAGTTTGACTCCAAAAATGATGGAAAATAGATCCTTGTTAAAAATTTCGGTAATACTTAATGACAACATAGACATCATTGAATCGGATGGTTGTGTTGCCCATCTCAAGATGTATATCTGGTAAAAATTTCAGAACTCTATCAAGTACTAGTGAAGAGATATCTTGAAGATACTGAAAATTTATGATTGACGAAAAAATGACAAAAATTGAAAAAAGCCATTTAGGGTGCTTCCAGTCGGGTCCTAGTATCTCAGTCAATTTTAAACCTTTTCTTCTAAAAATTTGGGTGTATTCCTAAAACACTTTGCTCTACAAAATGGGATGACTTTCAGCCAAATCTGAGATTATCGATTGAGCAGCTATATGGGAAATCGGTCGTCCTTCTCGTGCAGTGACTTCTATATAGGCAACTATGCTGCGCACACTATTGTCCGTTGGCCATTGGGTGCTACCAATTGGACATTAATTGCAGGAACTAACGGAGCGGTGTGGGTGTGGGTGTAGAGGTATTTTGTGCATACACTCACACCCACACTCCACACCCACACCCACACACCCACACCCACACACCCACACCCACACACCCACACCCACATTCACACCCACACCCACACCCACACCCACACCCACACCCACACCCACACCTACACCCACACCCACACCCTGAGCATGCCTTTATCTTTGGTAAAAAAATCAGCTTGTTTGCTGAAGCCGTAATGGAGATACTCAATTTTGTTTTCCGATAAAGTGACTTTTGCACCATCTGGTATATTGTTTTTTTCCTATTTGTGACCAAGTAAAATTTTCTTGTTTAGGCCAATAGCGATGCTAAACAAAGGCTCTCATTGACCTTGTCCGTATTATTTTTAAACCTCTGTATTTTGTCAACAAAAATAAGACAAGTTTAAAAAATAAAAATTGTCCTAATAGAAAGTTATAATTAAAAACAATTGTTGTATAGCTTTCTGGTCACCCTGTAGATTAAGAAAAAAATTCTTTCAAAGCTATACCAAATTTTGTAAAGAAGCTATACGCATTTTTCTCTAAAAATGCTAGCTTTTCAGAACCTTGGATTTTTGAAGGTATTTTTGGGTTTTTGGCATCCAAAAACAGTTTTTTCTGAATATAGTATATATATTGAGATTCAGCTCGTTGAATTGCATTTAACCATGCATAGAAACCCGAAAAATAAAAAGCACTCGAACTTTGAATTTCCCCGACCATACTCTGGCTGAATCAGCCAAGAAAAAAAAGACTCTTGGGAAACGTGTGATGACGAAACCTCCGAAAATTGGATAACTGTAGACGTCGTGGAAAGATGATCTTAACATATACAAAAGTTGGTAACCAAGTGTTCTTCCTGTTTGCGGAAGATATCCTTGCAAAACGAGGAAAGATTATGTTGTTCTGCGAAACATTTCAGTTGAAAGCGAACTTCAGAGAAAAATGTTATTGATTAACAGGTTCATTTTCTCATTGATAAGTAAGTAGTGTGAATTTTATCAACTTCTGATCATTTGAAATAGAGAATTCGGAGGAATCAACGATTGACCGACATTGCTTCCGAAGCTGCTCGTTCGAAGCTAGTATAGCATCATTCGTAAACATTGTCAAATTGATTTTCGAGATCAGTGTATCAAATTCTAGTAGCCCAGAAAGTTTTATCCCACTCCCATGGAGTTGATGTAAATGTGGTACGCTTTCAAAATGATTGCCCATAGCTTCTCAAGAGCTCTAATGTGCGCTATTATATTATACTGCTTGCGGGCCTGCGGATACCCCTATAGAAAAATCAGCGAGAACATATGGGCATCCTATCTAATATTCCGTGAAAACCTATGGGTATCCCTGTACGATAGGCCTTGAGGATCTATAGATACTGCTCTAGGAAAGTGGTTGAAGACTTTTGAGCACCCCTATAGAATAGTCCGTGAGGATCTATGGATATCCATATACGATGGCCGTTGAGGATTCCTTGATGCTTCCATATTATAGCTCTTGAAGACCTATGCGTACTCTTATAGGATAGTCCTTGATGACCCAAGAGTACCCCTATAGGATAGCCCTTGAGAACCTAAGAGTATCCTAATAGGAAAGTCCTTGAGGACCTAAGAGTACCTCTATAGGATAGTGCTTGAGGAGTTAAGGGTACACCCATGTCGTTCCACTTCAGTGCCTATGCGTCTTTATGGTTTAATCCGTCGAGATTCATGAGTACTTATCTTAATTAGTGCTAATTGGTTGAGTATTAATCAAGATGAGGACTAATTAAGATGCATACTAATTAATTAACTAATTTACGGTTACATAATGCTCATAGTCTATGGCTATTTCGATGGGAGCCTACCGTTCACTATTAATTTTAAAGCAAGAACAGAGGTCATTGAGTAAAATATGGATGCGTAAGTGAGCTCGAAATTTGGAGTTTAGGTAGTTTGAAGCCCACTTTTTGACCGAAAGTAAAGAATTTTTATGGAATTGGTGGGAAAACGGGCCAGTGCACCGTTTCCTGCGGGCAATGGTAGGAAATGATTGGATCTTAGGGACAGTATTGTGCAGGACTTTGACGCATTCTGCTTGCCGTTTCCGGCGGGAAAGCGACGGAAGTGTCGGGAGTTTGCTGAAAATAGCCGGCGGTATCCTATTTAGGAATACTTTGGGCGTGTTCCGTTGATTTCCGAGATTTTCTCTGTTGTTAGTAGATAGTATCGGAGTAGATCCGGCCGTTTCCACTGTGGTTCCGGCTAGATGTGATCACAGGTGAATGATTCTGAAAAACAGATCCTCCAGGAACTGGTGGGAAAATTCACCATATCCTGCAGAAAAATACCCGAGGACGATGATTGCCACGCCCGAATCCGTGAATTCCCAGCGGGAACCTGCAGGAAAGGCATCGGTTCCGGCAGGAAAACTCCGGAAATCGATAGAAATGGAAGCAGTACTCGAGGTCGGAAAATTATGGAACTTTTGCGGCGGCTTCCGGCCATTTCCAACCGGAAAGTACAGGAATTTGGTCGGAAAGCACCGGAAAAATCCGGAGATTTCTCGATCCAGAATACTGCTTCCATGAAATTTCCGAAAAGTACCGGAAATGGCCGGTTCCTTGCCGTATTCTTCGACCTTGAAAGCAGGATACGATAACTTCCCGTAAGAATTCCACGCGGATATGGTAATTTTCGATGATAACTCCGGACGCTAGATTTGCGCGGAAGTGAAAGGATCCGGTACGGTGCTTTCCGGCCCGGAATACTGTTTCCATCTTCCATATGTTTTCCTGGCGGTTCCGTAGGGAAATAAGCTGGAAGCTGCCGGAATTAGCGGGAAATAGCCCTGGTTCCTGTTGGTTCCGGCCGGATCCAGAGGCTGGAATCATCGCCCTTGGAATCAAGTAAATTGGAATCGTTTTCGTGCAGGAACGGACTCTCCGGATCAGAAATGGAAAGGATCGGATTTCTTCCTGGATTTTCCTTCCATTTCCGGCCGGATATGGCAGGAAAGTAAGCAGAGAAATCCGGCTAATTCCGTCGCGGAATGTTGCTT